ATGTTCTTTAAAAACTTCTAAATAGTTTAATTTAAAAAAGTGATATCTCCAAGTTGATAACTTTGTTTAAAATGCAGGTTGAATTTTTTTTTTAAATTTATCAAAAAATTAAATGCAACATTGCTTGAATATTAAGCTGATTTCACGCGAACTTACAGAAGCTTTCACCTTTGTTAAAATTTATTTAGCAAAATATGTCAGTCGAGTGTACGTTAACCAATACAGTTTGAAACCTACTTTTATATCAAATTGTGATAAAATATATGAGTTTATAATTATTGAAATGACACTATACCATACAAATAAATAAAGTGTAAAAATGAAAAAAGGAATAAGTTTAGATTGGTTTTGAGCTTAGATAACTCATCAGCTAATATTAAGACATGTGTAAATTTAAAGTGCATGTATTATTTTCGCTTAAAAAAATTCACTAATGTTTTTTTTTTGAATTTTTTATTCGGAACAACCATTTAATATGAATTACTCTCTCAATAGATTTTTAAGCACAAAAAATGAAGGGAATTTCTTTGGGAATTCGAGCACCCTTTCACATTGTTCGATAAATGTATGAAAATCTAAGCTACTTTAAATATTTGAGATTTTCACAACAATCTCAAATGTTCAAAGTATTTTAGAAGAAATTTTTTGAGTAAATAAAATTAGCCAGCCTTTTCTATATATGTTTTTTTAATGCACCTGCAGCACAAAATAAATATAAAAACAAGGCAATCAAATATTACATCCTAACAAAAAATCGTGCTTAAATTTCAAATATGCTTGAAAGGTTACCTTGGAGACATGCAAACTGATGGCCACCAGAAATATCTCAATGCATCTTATGCTACATATCCGAAATGCAGTTTTCTATGATTTAAACATTATTTTTTTTAGTTAATGGTGATGATGATAGTGTATTCCCTTATTTGGAAACTTCTCTAAGACTTGAACAGAGATTTAACCATGAACAACTCCAAATATTATATCGACTGTTTTTACAGTATTATTTTCTAACTGAATTCCCAACAATTTAGGAGAAAGGTTTTGATGACAAAAAAGAGTTAACATTGTGCTTAATCTAATCACAAAGTAGATTTTGCCAGCACAAAATTGAACTATTTGAGCTTAGTTCTTTGCTCCGTATAACCGGAAATCAATGAAAATTTCTGGAAAACTTCTTTCACAAAGTTATAGGATGAATCTGATAAAAATTTGCAGCAAATATAATCCTTCATGTGATGAAATAGTCTACAAGTTTAGATATGATCAAAAACTTATTTGTACAACAGTGGAAGAGGAAGATAAATTTAAAAAAAATCCAATTTTTTCACAAATTTTCAATTCTCCAAGACATCATTCAGAAATCCATTTGTGCTGCAGCACAGTTATTTGAAGTGTGAACCGCCGTGAGTATGAAATGATTAATTTCAAGTGGTAAAGCTTTTTACCTACCGTATATACACTTAAGTGAAAATGCTGAATCGATTGAAGTATTCATTTTCAAGTAGCAACATATCATTTGTGGTCTTCTGCTAATATTGCTCTTGTCAATGTCGATAATCGATAAGGACTTTAAAAACTATTTTTGAAACGAGAAAGTAATGTATAAGAATAATGCAAGGATGATTAATACCACATATCTTCGCTGTAATGGAATTTTTTGTTCGTTCAGTTTCAACTAAGTCACTAAAAATTTTCAAAATTAATTCCTATATTTTTCGTAATCAAATGCACTCTAATAGTAACCAGAACTGAAACAACAGTAAATAAATGACATTAGTTATTATCATTTTAAGAATTACTTTAGTATCTTACAATGAAAATGATAATAATAATAATAATAATAATAATAATAATAATAATAATAATAAAAGGATTATTACTATTATTAATTTGAATGACCAATGATAATTTGTCTTGCAAGCACTCATGATTTTGACAAATGCAAATTGCTTTGATATGCAAGTGTATACTATTGAAAATTTGAAGATGCAGAAGTGATTAGATATACCAAGTTTCTGTAGACTGTGATGCTATCATGATTAAATACTGATGAGCAAAAAATTGCTAGAAGTAACAATATTATAAATGAATAATTATAAGAGAAATGTTTATTTGGACAGCAGTATTCGATTTTTTCAGTTAGTGCTTCATTCTCATTTTTTCATGTTTTGAGCATAACTTAAAGAAATAACTCCTCTCTTCATGGTGTTTCAAGTTGCTATTAGGAAAAAAAAATCATTCGTAAAAAACAAAAAAGAAAATTAGAGATTGAAACACTTTCAGTTATATTTATAGATAAGTGTATATGCTCTCTGAAAAAGTGTTATTTGCATTTCTTTATAATAAGAACAAAGCTACATGCTTCTGGTTTTTCTCTTTTCTCTTGCATGATTCTCAAATCATTATTTTTGTAGCATCTGTGTGTGCGTGTGTATGAACTGCATATGCTGATCAATTATCCTTCCAGACTTGAAGTTTCAAAACTTTATTTGTTTGTTTTGGTGGCCTATTAAGTTCGCTTACCTTCCGTTCGTCTTGCTTCACTTTATTTTTGAAGGACAGACATGATTGTGGAGAAGAAAATGCGAGTCCCAAACCACTCCCTTTCTGTTATTTCTTTTAAGAAGGTTAGAAAAAAACCTGAAAGACTCAGGCAATAACTCCAGACCACAACTATTTCTACTAAACCACATATCCATCAATTCATGCATTCGTTCTCCCAACTACTCGTTCATTCAACTCATCTATCCATGTGATGAACGCAACAATCTTCACAGCACCTTTATTTTCAAGCTTTTCTACTTTTTACCTGTCCATTTATTGTCTTTATCACCTCAAGATTTCGTCGATAAAATTGAAAATTTTCATACTTCATCCTACATTATTCAGCAGATCAGCCTATTTCCTTCTCCAAAAGGTTTCTCAGATCTATCAAATATTATTTTATACTTCTTTTGTCACTTTTAGGGGTGAAGGAAAACAAGTTAAAGAATTTATTACATATATTGAAATTTCGACAGTTGGTTCAGTCCAGAGACTAGACTTTTGGAAACATGTGATGACACACTGTGGACAGCTTTTCTTGCGTGCATTTTAGGCTACCTTCTTCTACTTTTTTCAAACTCAAATTTTCGCCACTACAGTAATGATAGCAATTTTTCTGAATTCTTTAAGCTATTTGCATTGCAAAAAATAGTAATGTATTGCTGTACTGATCATAATCAACCAAAACCCCATCAAAATAAGAGTTTCGAGAGTGTAACAAAGTTTAGCAAAGAAATCAACTTTTCACCCATAGCAATGAACATTGAACAGTGAAATACTTAGTCTGCATGATAATACAGCGGTGTTTAGTTTAGCTACATCATTTCAAAGTATTCAAAAATCTGAAATCAAAGCACAACGAGTTGGTGAGTATTCTCCTTCATCATTAGCTTTGCGTGTTGCCTATTTTAAAGTTTTTTTCCGGTAAATACCGGCTATTTTTTGTTAAAAAATGGATGCATGAAAAAAAATAAACAAATTGACGGCCAAAATGCAGATTATCATTTCTCAAAAAAAAGGTTTTGTCTTCATTTTCTTCCTCATTTTTCTCATATTAGATTTAGAAACACAAATTTCTGTTCCACATTTAGCATGTACTGTATAACCTCTTCCACCTCTTTCAATTCACATTTTACGCATTTTAGAACATAAAATTCTACGTTTTTAAAAATCAGTCTCCTTCACATTCATTTCTGTCTAGGTTTAAAATTAAGAATTTAAAGGCTCTAGAAACAAGCCAAAAAACAAGTTGCCCTCGATAGATGAATGCAGATAATAAATAAATAGAAATATAAATAGATATATAGATTGAAAGATAGATAAATAAATAGTTAGATAAACAGACAGACAGATAGATAGATAGATAGATAGATACATACATACATAGATGGATAGATGTGCATACTTAAGCCTTAAGTCAGTTATGCGATGGCGGGTTCTTGTCGATCAGTCCTGAAACTATATATCATTTTGACAATTAAGTTTTATGTGGAAAAAATGGCAATGAATATGTATCAGCAGCTGTTTTCTTGCCTGAAATTGCGTTACTTTTGTCACACGAATAAATATACTTGCATGTCTAGCAAGAAGAGACTTTGTTCAATGCACATATGCAAACCGCTTTTCCTTTTTTGTGTCAGCGAATGAAACTTTCCCAATTCAATTAAGCCATGTCCCTTGTGAACATTGTCCCTTTTTCCGTCACAATCATCTATCTCTTTTCTCCTTCTGTTAATGCATTAATACTTACCGTATCAGTTTTCACTTCAGGTGACAAAAATTACTACGTAAAATAAGCCACTTCGACCACCTATAGACTAATCACATTCGATCATCATAATTCTGATGACACTTGTGAAAAACTACTAACACTTTACTTCATTTAACACAATAACTTTAACAAGATCCATTTCAAACGTTCACTTACAACCAAAGAAATATGTATCAGTAACTATAATTACTCATTTGTAATCATCTGCTCCTCAGCAGATCAAGAATTGCATCAAGGGTTGACTTTGTGGCTCAGCCTGCTCATTATTGAAAATATTTTACCTGTTAATGATCATATAAGTAAATTTTTCACGGAACTATTTCATAGTGTTTGCCAGGAGCTTGGCCAAATTTTTTAGTTAGATCAACGTTTCGATGACTTTGATATTAGATTAAAATTTTACATTTTTTGATGGCAATATAATAATAATGCCCATCCATTACTCCATCATTCCTATCATTCGTTCTGTTCTGTTCTCTATTTATTTTTCGAAACTGTGTGTGTCAAATAAAATTATTTGAATGACAACATTCAAATATTTTGTCAACATGACATAAATTGATACAAATTGTTGTATATATATTTCAGTAGCTTCCATCTCTATACTTCTCATAATTTATGATTTTCGTTTATTTGAAAATGCAAAAAGACGTGCGTCATTATTAAGCAGTGTCTAGAACAGAGCATGGAACCTGCATCACGTTGGGACATTCCACAGGAGGGGACGCAAGAGTCTTATGATGTAGAAATATTGGAACAACGCTTGCGTTTCCCGTATGGAAGCAATTTAATTGCACCGAATCGAATAATGAAAAGCGCTATGAGTGAACAGGTATAAAAGTAAAAATCCTGTAAATATGCTTTAGTATTATAGTCGTTGATCATTATGATTCCAAGCCTCAAATAAATTCAATTTTCCATGATGTTCTGAAAACAACTTTAATTTTTTAACTTTAAATTAAAAGTGATTACAGAAATTTGTCCTGAAAATTAATGAAAAGAAAAGCAGTGTCATGATTCATAAGTCCTCTTTTTCATTCACTATTTTTAAATTTTTCCTTAAAAAATTGTGCAAATACTTCAAACTTTGAAGTTGACAATCTGAGTAAAATATTTTTTGGGGTTTAAAGATTAAACAAATATGAAAAAGCCAAACTAGCCTTTGATAGATGCAAAATTTGATGAGAGTAGTTTACCAAATTTTTCGACTTTATTGAAATCACTTCTCATACAGTTTGCGCAAAATCTAAATGAAAAAAGCTTTCTAAAGAAAGAAAGCGAAAATTCGGTCTTAATTAATTTCGTGTAGGATTTACTTTAGATCATGTGTCAGTAAATCAGTAATTACTAATATCAACCATATATGTTCAAATATGACACAGAAATGTGATACAGAAAATTACTATATGACACAGAAATTTGATTCCAATACCCATCTTACCACCTGCTTCGTCCGTAATTACCATATAGCCATATTGATAATGGCTAATATGATTTTAATCCTAATTAAACTATAATGCTATGTGTCCTTTTAATATTATAGTAAAAAAATATTGTGATGTATACACACAAGGTTGCAGAAGCTGCTTTCATTATACAAACTTATGTCGACTCAACTAAACTTTCACTTTTTCTCCTAATTTTTATCTTTAAAATGTACGTTCAATACAAGTGTAATTATTAATGTTTTACATATCTCTTTTAAGAGAGTGCAACTATTGTAAATGATATCGTTATTAAATCAAAGGGAAATTTTTAATTACTATATGACATGAGCAGTTTTCGAAATTTCAATACCAATTTGGCTGTAAATCTTGATCGTTTTTCAGCTGGCAACATATGACAAAAATAATATGATGAAAAGTGGCATACCGACTCAGGAAATAATTAATTTGTATGAAAAATTTGCTGAGGGCGGTTTTGGTATTATAGTCACTGGCTGTATCATGATTAACGGAGTAATCTTTCTATTTATATTACGATTTCCATCCGAAAAATGACATAATTTATTGAAATGACAAAGATTTGAGATGAATAAATAAACAAATAAATGAATAAAAGCCAGGCTCTGAGCAGCCAGTTGTTAGAATGCAAAAAACTGATGAGAATTCTTTAAGTTTAATTTTTTCTCGAAAAAACTTCGATGTATTTTCTGCTTGAAAGTTCTCTCCTGTTAAAATATCCCATGCAGCGTAGCCGAAACGTTTGTAATCTTGTAGTATTCACATTTTTCCATCAGTTTTATTAATTAAAAGAAAAAGTTTTCATCAATCTTTCCATTGCACTTTATGACTGATAAAGACTTTGGTCTTAAAATTGGGTGTATTTATCAAGATTTCAAATTTTTGAGTAAGGCTGACATAGCAGAAGAATTTGTCGATGACATATTAACTGAGTATCAAGTAGAATAAGTACTAACGATTTTATTTCATGACATTTTCTGTGCTATCACTGCATGAAAGTTCAAAACGTATGTTTTAAATAAATGTTAGAGAATTTCGTATTATTTGTGTTTAGGTATTTTGATTGCAGAAGGATATAGAAGCTCCAGGCAATGTGATCATCGACAAGGAATTGGATTCAACTGAACGTCGAACTGCTTTTCAGGAATGGACCAAATGCACCAAGCGAAACGGAAGTATCGTTGTAGCTCAGCTTTTTCACGTTCGTTTTTTCCAATTTTTTTTAGTATCTTCATTTTGATGTTCGTGTTGCAATTTTTAGATTATTTTCATTTGCTGTTTCTTACAAAAAGTGTTGAACAATTCGCTCCAATACAGAATGTAAAGCGATAGCAAGTTTGCTAGAGCCAGCTGTTCCTGAATGTAATGAGTATCATTTTCATGATTGCAACACAAAAAAAATTTCCAGTGCTATGATTATACACCAAATTTTGGATTTGTTCGTAATGAAGGGAAGTTAAGAGAACGAAAAAAATCATCCGCTCTTATTTTTTTTTGCTTGCTTATTTTCAGTAGTTTTATTAAAGGCAGTAATACAAAAGCTAAGAATTTATATACTGTGAAAATAAATGAATCAAAAATTGTGAAATATTCATAATTTCAGCTGTTTCCACCTCCCAATTTTCAGTTTGCCCTTCGTTCATTATTTTCGCTATGCAAAAAAATTATTCCATTAAAATTTAAATAGCAAACAATGATATCTGATGAGTAATTATCAGAAAAATGAATAATTGTATTTTGGAAAGAATTAGAATAAAATTTTTAAATGAAAAGTACCAAAAAATAATTAAAAAAAGTAAGAGGTAAAATTTCGTGAAAAGTTTTCTTTTAATTAAATAAGTAAATAGTTTATTATGAAATGATGAATTCTTCGTCATGAAATGCAAAAGTACTTTTTTTTCAGTATTTTTGGATTAATGGTTCTGTGTACATATTCCGATTTCTTATTTGAGTTTCATTTTCTGAATAATCAGTCTGAAATCGGACAAGAAAATGAAAATTATATTAATTTATATTAAAATTAAATTAAGTTAATTCCTATTAATAACTACATTAAATTATAATTAATAACTAAATTAATTATAATTAATAATTAATTATATTAATTTTTATAAGGCTCGAGGATCAGTTGATACCTGCCATAAATAGTTGCTCAGTAGAATAGATATTTGTGGAAGCATTTGGGGGGCAAATAAGCAATTATAACGCTAAAAAGTGAATTTTAATCGATTCACTGAATCTCAGTGACCCATGCAAAAAATCTTCTTTGTTGAAAATTTCATGCCAATGTAGAATACGAAATATATCCAAAAAAATCTGAAATGAGACTTTGATGGACTTAAAATTGATCTAAAAACAAAAATTCTAACATTGCATGGTCTTTTGAAAAAAGAAAAAAGCCAATATCTCATAAGGATTTTGAGAAGGAAATTTTTGTACAAAGTAAGCCCATGATGAATTGAAATATTGGGAGCAACGAAATAACGATTTCCGCAGATGACGAAATATAACTTTGTGTGCAATCCAGAAGAAGTCAGAATTCCATAAACTTTATTGTATGACATTGACAAATTTGTGATATAATTCCACACAATTCTTTTCAAAATTACAGTCTTTTTCTTACAACCTGTAGCTGACTTCAATATGGCAATGCTATGAAACACATCAAAGTTAACACTAGTTTGAGTTTCTTACCACCAAAAACATGACAAAGATAAAAGACGCCGGAGATAAACGTAAATTGTTACCAAGTAGTAAGGACACTTTTTTTGGAGAAAGCATTAAGCAGTTCAGTTGTCAGATGCTTCATTTTTTATTCTTTGTAAACAGCTTTACTCTTCTATTCATTTTTCGTTTATTTTAAGATTATTAAAAAATGTACCTTCATATCAACTGAAAAAATCGCAATGTTGATCGCTTTCAAAACATAATAGTTTGGTTATTCAAATATCAAAATAATTGAATCAATAGAGTTTTATCATTTAAACCTCGTTAAAAATAAGGTACTCAAAATGAAAATATGATAAAAAATTTGAACAGTGTTAAGAAGTATTGCAGCCAGGAAACTGTGCAGCAGACTTGCCCCATAAAACTGATTTCGATATCAATAATTTAACACGGAAGCAAATCGCAGATATGATTAGTGATTATGCCTATGCAGCAAGCTATTCTCAAAAGCGTGGTAAGTCATTATTTTTTGGCAAGCGTGAATTTTAAGTTCGTTTGTCTGGTGTATTGACTTCTTTGTAAATAATTTTAATAAAATATAACAACAATATCACGTGACGGTTAAATCTTGATCGTGTTTCGACACTCTCGATACACTTGCACCGCATTCAGTATTGCGATGCAGGTTTCTTTTGCTTCATCCTCGTATAATTCATGGCGGTGATCAAATAAGGTTTTTTCAAACATCGTCTTGAGCACTATCGATTGAATAGATGTCTCGACATAATCAGATATACTGATTCTCTTTGCATAGCCTTTATGACAATTCATTATTATCCCATTCCAAGTCATCACATACGGAATTACTTTCGTGTACTTTATTTCTGCCTCGTGTTTATTAGCGAGTATACCATACTTTTCTCTTTTCTAGGTCTCGACTGCAGTCAACCTGTCCTAACTCTAATGATGCCAACCTCTATTAGGAGTAGTTCGCGTCGTGCACCAGAGTGATCGGTTTTTACATCCTTATTCTAATCGCTGTTTTTACTTGCATGTTGACTCTTCTGTTCACGTCCTCATTAGCGACGATTTTCTGAACAAAAGGGCTCCGCATGCGTGGGAATGCTTTTAGACCATAATTTTTCCAGAGCCCTAAATGGGTCCATCGTAGGACCTCATTGTATCTTCTAGTATAGTCGTGATGTGACATTATTTCGCATTGCGTTGCTAGATGGTCCACCGTCTTCACACGTTCCCCACAATGTTGGCTCATACCTTTCTCAGCTCCAAACATATTTCTATCTTGCAGGTGACAGTATCACGCCTCATCTTGCGGGTAATGTTTCCGTATCGACGCCATTTTGTTAAATCAACTATGGACGAGACTTCATTCTTCTGCATCTTGTATAGCTTTGCATGATAAGTTTTATTTTCTGTTTCGTTATACAAGAGCGCCTTCTGGGCTCCTAATACCTTTTTGAGCAGGATTTTCTTCGACGTTGTACCTAGTCTTTAGATAGGGCACAATAAACGTCAAGTACGCGTTATAAGTTTTCTTCTGCTTCAAAATTGCCGCCCTCTTGGTAGGTATGGGCGCACTTTCTACAAGGACATTATGAAGTTGTAGAAGTATAACCTAGCTTCTTTGTTCGGCGCATCCTAGCTCGTCCCTTGGCAGGTACAGTCTCTCCTAACATGCAGGTTGGATGTGAATTCCGTATTCAATTAGTAACTGTCTGACACCATGGTCAATTGCTCGGAATTATTCTGGTTCCAGTTTGAGCACCCCAGTGTAATAATGTATCAATCCTATGACGTACTCATTTACTGCCTTGTTAAAGTTCTTGCCTATTTAGTGCAGTTTTGGCTAGTCGTTCAATTCTCACCAAAATCGCTGCTCACACTTTATCGTAGCTTTCTCAAGTCGAAGCGCTAGACCTGTCCTTCATTATGCCAAGGTATTTATACCCTTAAGCTCCTTCCAAGAGTACCACCCGATCATTAAGTCTTTACTTCCAAGAATTTCATCGGCCAAAGTCCGGTAAAAACTATGAGGTTGAGAGAAAGCTTCTCTCTTCTATGAGGGTTTGGTGGAAATTCAACAAGTTTATCTTCTTTTCTATGCTTGCCTTCCACCCCGATGGCTTCTTCTCTCGTCTCGTCATGTCTTCATAACATTGTTGTGCTGCCTGGAGCTGCCTTGCAATATCAGTCATTGACTTATTGGGATTCAGTGTAGCATATTCATCCGCCACTTGGTCTACTGCTCCAAGTATAAGCGGATCCACATTTTCCG